AATAATTCAGGTGACCAGACAGGGGAATGCCGAGCTCATGGGAATCTGGGCTCCGCATTCTTCTCCAAAGGAAACTACCGTGAGGCTCTTACTAACCACAGGCATCAGTTGGTGCTCGCCATGAAACTCAAGGATCGAGAGGTAGGAAGCTTGTCTGCAGACAAAAGGAAAAGAAATAATTAGTTTTGAAGCCTGGAGTCTGCTTTCTTTCCTTCACAGTGTTTCAGATATTTCCCAAGTGGGTTGTTGACCATGTGTAGGTCGTGGGTATGTAGTGATGAAGAGGGGCATCATCCCTGACTTCAGGAGCTAACAGCTTGGTGGGATGTGTTCTCATTCCCTTCAAATGTAGTCTGAAGTGGACATGTGTAAAATTAGCAAAAAGCTACATCATCATGATATATTCGCTCAGTTGTAAGAAACAAACATTACACTTGGCTTGAAATCAAATATTGTCACTGTAAACCCTTCACAGTGTTTCTTTGGTGGATTTTTAACTCAATTAGTAAAAGCATATTAAGTCTGAGAGACCTGAATTGTAATGAGAAAGAAATGTCACCCTCATCTTTATTAGAGAAAGGAAATGTAATATTCTCAGAGTTGATATTTAGCAGATGCGACATGAGGAGAATGTGTCTGCTGAGTGGAGAGAGTGGGGTTGAGTCAGGTAGACCCAGTTATAGCACTTCCTGGCTGTGAGATCTTAGGGAAGGTACTACTTCACATCTCAGTGGCTTTGTTTGCTTGTTCAGGACGGGATGGTGATTCTATTTATTTCATACATGGCTGTGGTGGGATTATATACAATATATGTAGAATGCCTGGCATGGTAACTGATTACCAAAGAGGAATTGCATGAATGGTAGCTTTTCTTACATTATTGCTAACAGGGAAGAGAAGATTCATGGCAGAGGCAACAAATAAGTTGATGAATCAATCTATGTGCTGGGGAATATATTTAGTTACATTTGCATCTCAGAATTTCACTGTGGGACTTTATAAAGATCAGTTATGTTTCAATGCCCCAACCACATCAGGTCTCTGGAACATGGTCATGCACTATGAAGAAGAAAGTGGAGGGGAAAGTCTCAAAACTACTGAAACAGACCATTCAAGAGCCATGGATTTGGGGCAATTTTATTCTCCAGAAAATTGCATAAATACTCTTCTCATTGCTTATTTACTCTTTTTTGTATGTGTATATGTGTGATTTGGGTGAAAGTTTACAGAG